AAACTCTTTATCTCACTCGTTTATTAAGCACTCGCTCCGCGTGTGCCATATAAACTCGTGAGTCAAATGCGGTTTACCGCACTTTCTGCATAATATTCTAATATAGATAATTGACAAATAATGGATGCTTTTCCGGTTTGCTTTTGATCAATTTGTGGGGATTGGTGAAATCGGAGTATGCCAGTGTTATGAAACAGTATTTTCTTAGCCGTCGACACTTTGGAGTTATTTCTATTCAGTCTTGTGTTTGTAATTGGTAATTACCAACTTACTGTTATTCAACTGGTTTTCAAGACTCAGTGTATTACAATTTGTCTTTCCAAATACTAACATTGTTCAATTTTGTGTGTCACTTGCGATGTCCAGCGACAAAGAGGTTGAGAGTGTGATTGATGACGTAATAATGATAAACGTTAAATTTAAATGTATCAAAGACAAATTTACCTATTGTTGCCAAAATTATAATTTTAAATATGTTTCTGTTTCTGAAATCGCCATTTGGGGAAAGTAGAGCCATAAAATTAACGCCCGAGATGACTAAAACACCGTATGCCGCTGTATGTGATAGAGTTGTGAATGGTGTCCAAGAAAGAAAAACGCGAAAAGGCCTACATGAAAATTTACCAAAGTTAAATACCGGATTATGTCGTAAAAATGGTGGAGACCTCTACATCCCCTGTCTTTCCAATCAATGAAATTAAACTCGTGACTAAAGTGGCGCCTATGAAACTTGATATGTAAGAAGATAAAGAAACATTCGTGTAGAAAATAAGCTCGTGACCAAAGTGTCGTTTATAAAACTTGTTACACGATATAGTATTTATATTTTCTTCCTACAGCTTTTATCGCTAAAGCATTGGGGAAGACTACCATGAGGTCGTACCTCTGTTTTTCATCAAATCAAAATGATACTTGTTAAACCTTCATTTAATACGATGCCACAACAATGAATAAAAATCATTTGAAAAATGCAACAACAATTTTTCATTATATTGAAGGAAGCTATACTATATAATTTAGTTTCCGCGTCGTTACAATATCTTGTTTGCTTGCTTAAGTTTTGATAAGTTTTGCAAAGAATGATACGTATTCACATTTCCCTAAAATATAAGTTATAATTCAATAAACATAGTTATGGCAAAATATAATGGATAAAAAGTGCTAACATTGGTTATACGTTTAAGAATAATAACTGACAACTCCTCTTTAATGTACATATGTATCTAGTTAAACACTCTCCAGCTAGCGTTATTCATAAGAGAAACCGCGTGATGCGCCCTCTGCCGGTTACATTTCAAAAGGCATATTATACATAAATGCGTTAACAGCTCTTTAGAAAATTACTTGTTAATAATTCATCGAAAATCGGTTTCCATTCGAGTTGAGGATTTGATTTCAGCTTAAGGTTTCTCCACTGGGATAAATCCAGTAAATTAAGAAATAGTTTCCCGAATACAAACTTCGTCTCTCTTGTTTGCCTAATCACTTCGTAATAATTAATTATCCAAAATTGCGTATCTCCTATTCCATTCGTGCCGAAAAGAGACACGGATATCGTACTCTTATCTTGCTATCGAAAGTCTAATTAGGATAGCTAATTAGTTTCGATTTTATTCAAACAACTCGTACAGCCCTCGAAGGGAGGGGACATTCGTTATGGGTATTTACCCAGATTACAATTTAAATTGGCATCAATTTATTTCCATAGTGACTGAGTTTCTGTAAAATATCTTTGAGGAGATTTGAAATGGCGTATTAATTTGAAATATAATTACGGACGTAAATAAACATGAAAAAAAAATATTTTTTCAGAAATGTTTTGTGAAAGACAGTGGCTTTGTAGTACTATAGTTTTTGAATACGTTCGTTTCGACACACCAAGTTTAATTTTGACATGAAATTTATCACTTTAAATGCGTGTGAGTCAAAGGCTAATTTAAATATCATATTAAAAAAAAGAGCAAACAAAAGAAGGAAGGACGATAAGAAACTATAATCTCAGTACTGGTACCTATACTCAAATCACGATTCAATTCAATTTGGAGAACAGTGCAACTGCAAAAGAAATAAGCCAAAAATAGTGTAAGTGGATATCTCTTTGTGGAAAGATGTTTTGCTATGAAATTTGGGATGGTATTATATGAGACAATTGTCCAATTTTTTTGATGAAAATGATATTGGCATAGAGTCGGATCATTTTTTATGGAATAGTGGGTCATGTGCCAGTCTATTTTCAAGGTCTTTGTATCTCTAATTCCAATCCTGATATTGAAGACATTGAATTGGATTGGTTTTGACATCAAACTTTCTCAATTTTTATTTTTATTTATGGAGTTTGTCTAATTAGTAATTAATTTTAACTAGTTTTGTATTTTTTACTTAGCCGAAATTATTGTAACTTAAAACTAAGTCGCTTTGCAAAATTAAAAAAAAAAACACTAAAAACTAAATTAATGTAAACAAAGTTAAAGTGTCACGTGACCCACTATTCCAAAAAAAAAACGAAATTGTGCCAAGTGGTCATTTTGAGTTATGACAATTTCTTTTTTTTTTCTTTTTTTCACCAATCATCCTATTGGCTTCTTGAGAGCTTCACTCAAACTGAAGCTCTGAAGAAGCCAACAGGATGATTGGTGAAAAAAAGAAAAAAAAAAGAAATTGTCATAACTCAAAATGACCACTTGGCACAATTTCGTTTTTTTTTTGGAATAGTGGGTCACGTGACACTTTAACTTTGTTTACATTAATTTAGTTTTTAGTGTTTTTTTTTTTAATTTTGCAAAGCGACTTAGTTTTAAGTTACAATAATTTCGGCTAAGTAAAAAATACAAAACTAGTTAAAATTAATTACTAATTAGACAAACTCCATAAATAAAAATAAAAATTGAGAAAGTTTGATGTCAAAACCAATCCAATTCAATGTCTTCAATATCAGGATTGGAATTAGAGATACAAAGACCTTGAAAATAGACTGGCACATGACCCACTATTCCATAAAAAATGATCCGACTCTATGCCAATATCATTTTCATCAAAAAAATTGGACAATTGTCTCATATAATACCATCCCAAATTTCATAGCAAAACATCTTTCCACAAAGAGATATCCACTTACACTATTTTTGGCTTATTTCTTTTGCAGTTGCACTGTTCTCCAAATTGAATTGAATCGTGATTTGAGTATAGGTACCAGTACTGAGATTATAGTTTCTTATCGTCCTTCCTTCTTTTGTTTGCTCTTTTTTTTAATATGATATTTAAATTAGCCTTTGACTCACACGCATTTAAAGTGATAAATTTCATGTCAAAATTAAACTTGGTGTGTCGAAACGAACGTATTCAAAAACTATAGTACTACAAAGCCACTGTCTTTCACAAAACATTTCTGAAAAAATATTTTTTTTTCATGTTTATTTACGTCCGTAATTATATTTCAAATTAATACGCCATTTCAAATCTCCTCAAAGATATTTTACAGAAACTCAGTCACTATGGAAATAAATTGATGCCAATTTAAATTGTAATCTGGGTAAATACCCATAACGAATGTCCCCTCCCTTCGAGGGCTGTACGAGTTGTTTGAATAAAATCGAAACTAATTAGCTATCCTAATTAGACTTTCGATAGCAAGATAAGAGTACGATATCCGTGTCTCTTTTCGGCACGAATGGAATAGGAGATACGCAATTTTGGATAATTAATTATTACGAAGTGATTAGGCAAACAAGAGAGACGAAGTTTGTATTCGGGAAACTATTTCTTAATTTACTGGATTTATCCCAGTGGAGAAACCTTAAGCTGAAATCAAATCCTCAACTCGAATGGAAACCGATTTTCGATGAATTATTAACAAGTAATTTTCTAAAGAGCTGTTAACGCATTTATGTATAATATGCCTTTTGAAATGTAACCGGCAGAGGGCGCATCACGCGGTTTCTCTTATGAATAACGCTAGCTGGAGAGTGTTTAACTAGATACATATGTACATTAAAGAGGAGTTGTCAGTTATTATTCTTAAACGTATAACCAATGTTAGCACTTTTTATCCATTATATTTTGCCATAACTATGTTTATTGAATTATAACTTATATTTTAGGGAAATGTGAATACGTATCATTCTTTGCAAAACTTATCAAAACTTAAGCAAGATTGGCGAAATGTCAGCATTTTCGACTAAGCAAAAACCGACGCAGGAGGAATCCAGAAGTTTTGTAAAAAGCAATTTCATTTTCAGTAAAAAAAACAGAAAATTGTCTCATTTAATACCATCCTAACTTTCATCGCAATATAGTTTCTCATGGATCTTATCGTTCTTCCTCATCCAGTTATTTTTTGGGTAGGTTTGAATAAGTTTCGCCATGAGTGGTGTTTGCCGATAAAAATTGTCATACAACGTACTGCATAAATCAAATCAAAGGCAAGCAAGCAATTGTTTGTTTTGTTTTGTTATATATAGAAATACCAAAATCCAGTAAATTTAAATATATCGACAATATATTATTATTATTATATATTATTATAATAATAACTTTTAGAAATTAGCTTGCTAAACACTATCGGTAACGCAAGAGGGCATCCAAATATGACCCAATGAGAAAGAAATTTGTAGACGAACATGAAAGTAGTCGCAACATTTAATTTCGGTAATAACTTAGTGCTACAATACGAATATACTGCGTGACAAAAACTGGGGATAGTTTGCATGCTTGTTAAAATACACAAAAAGTTGAAATAATGTATTTTCTTGTATTTCCATATTTCCTTTTCCATCCTTTTACTGTAGAAAATTATAAGATATTAATATGGCTTCCGTACGATATCAATCTACGACTTGATTATTTCGATTCTATGCTTAAATAAAAATTTCGTCATCAATGGACAATTTTCAGAAAAAAATAAAAAAAAAAGGAGGAATAAAGGGAAACAAGCAATAGTATATGCAGAGCACGTATTTAATTTTAGCCTTGAAATAAAAAGCTTGCACGGTCTATTTTTTCAGCTTGCAGAAGCATATGAAAAATGCGGAAGACGCCGATTATCCCTCGTACGGTATCGTGGGTCCCAACAAGGATTACGAGAAAAGGGAACGAGACGACGCCGGGGATAGAAGGCTGGCGCAGTCGGCCCAAATGTATCACTATCAGCATCAGAAGCAGCAGATAATAGCCATGGGGAGGTAATATATCACCTGTTTTGCGGCTCTAAGTGAAACGTTCTCATTGACATTTGGTACGGGGCGTGGTCCACGTAAAAAGTCTTTTGCTTCGGTTAGTTGGTTATAGGTATTTAGTTTCTATGTATATAGGGTGTTTCATTTTCTCAGGCCGGGTACAAACATTCTTATTTTACATCGAACATTCATACCGATTTGAACTGACGAGTTCAATGATATTATATATACCTGTGACGTTTTATGTGCGATTTTTTTGGTTTTTTGACACAAATAAAGACTTTCATAGAGGTAATATTTTTGATTAACTTTCACAAATTTTATATGTCAAATACAATATTGAAATTTACCCGTTCTGTAAGTTTGCTCGATTTTTTTAAAGGGTACACTCTGTACAGAAACATGGTTAAACAAAACGTAAAGATTGTGTGTATTATTATAGCCGTACAAATCAAACTAAAATTATGGATAATTAAAAAAATATATTTGTAAAATTTTGAAAACAAAGGTAATCAAAATTAAAGTAAATATTGTTTAAGGGTTGTCCTAATGTTATTTAATTTTAATTTATTAATCACCATCATTATTCACTTGCAAAACAAAATATTGTTTATAAGTTTAGATGGCATCTTGACAGATATTAATAGAATTATAATTTGAAATAAATAAATCTATAATGTGAGTTATATGGAACGTGAACAACATGAAAAAATTTGCCATTTAACTCTAACTATAAATGTGTGATACAGACGGGATATCACCTGTTTGTTTGTTGAACTCCGACTGGAATCCTTCAGACGTTTCGCCAAGATCTCACTTGGCATCTTCAATGCTCGCGCTCTGAAAACACTTCGAACACTGAAAGCTTATCGGCGATGCGTGCGGTATTTATAATTTGCGCCGGAGGAGGTAACGGTGCTGCATCTGCGGGAGGGGAGATGGCTCCGCCCCCCGAATTGTCTCGTTATTTATTTCGCCCGATCGTAGTTGCGATGTCCCGTTGGCTGCTGCGTATCGCTTGCTTATCGTTTTCCACGTATTGGATAAATGCAGAGCGTCGTCTCTCGTATTTAGATGTCCGGACTTTTCTATCTCGATGGCCTCTCGTATAATCCTGTTTATGGCCTGTCTGGTGATGGTGCTGGAATAAAGCCGATGTTATTTGTTTATTTCTTATGCCTTATCTATGTTCCTGTAGCCTGGCTGAAATTGTCCTACTGGTTTGTCCACGTACATCAAGCTGCACGACCCGCAAGCCACACTATAAACTACTTGGTTTTCCAAAGTAATTTTTTTGCTTTGAGTTTTTTAATATTGCTAATATCCCGTGTTTCCGTAGTATTCGGCCGATTCTGTCTGTTAGTCTCTTGATGTATGGCAGAACAGCGATCGATCTCTGTTGGTCTTCGTCCTGCACTCTCTCTTGCGGCTGATGTTGTTTGCTTATTGCCCTGCTGATGGTGCGCCTTTGGTATCCGTTTTGCCGAAGACAAGTACTAATTTTCTTCAGTTCATCATCTCTTTTCTTCTGCCACTGCCCGTACCTATGATGGGTGTGGCATCTTCAATGCTCGCGCTCTGTGTTCGAAGTATTTTCGGAGCGCGAGCATTGAAGATGCCAAGTGATATCTTGGTGAAACGTCTGCAGGATTCCAGACCCGTACCTATGATGGGTGTGGCATCTTCAATGCTCGCGCTCTGTGTTCGAAGTATTTTCGGAGCGCGAGCATTGAAGATGCCAAGTGATATCTTGGTGAAACGTCTGCAGGATTCCAGACCCATATATATATATATATATATATATATATATATATATATATATATATATATATATATATATATATATATATATATATATATATATATATATATATATATATATAAGTTTCCATATAACGTTTTTACCTTGCCCTTTTAATAAACTCTGTAGTCAAAATATAAATAAAAAACTTGTAATAAAGTAATAAATTAATTAATTATCCAGCGAGATCCTGAGATTCTTGATTCTGCCTCATCACCGGTCCCCTGTCAAGAAGAACCATTTGCAATTTCAATGGAGACGGCATTTCGCGATATTTAAAAACGCTTACGCTTGCCTTTTAATCAAAGCTGAAGCACACTTATAATCCTTCAAGAAAATAAGCGGTGCTAGAAAGTGAAAGGGTTGAATATTTACACGTTGCGCGTGAAGTCCGTAGAGAGTTTTTTTTTAATCGGCTGATCAAAAAACGAGAATTAATACATAATTATACAGATTGGTCCGTAATAAATACACCAAAAAGCAATCCTGAATAAAACTCGCGAAAACAATGATGTTGAGCCAAATATGCCTTGGTAAAATGTCGCTTATAAATGGCATACAGGGTGTCGAAAATAGTTCATTGGGAGGTGGACTATGAATTAGAAATGGAATGGGTAACAGAACAAGAAATAATGAATATTCCAATAACGAAAATATGCGTTAGTAAAATATTATAATAAAACATTAAATTTTAGTTTTAAATGGAAGATGTCGACGGCATTCTTCTCAAAAGCGTTCATAAATACAGGATTATTCTAAAACAAAGAGCATATTGAAAACATTTAATTCTTCCAAACTACAAAGATACAAACACGATTCTAACGTTAATGGATAGAGAAAAGTGTACAATTATGGTATGCATTCAATATGAGCACCGTGCGTTACACGACAAATGTCAAAACGGTGGCTCAATTCTTGCCACACACTAACCTGATGGTCTTTAGTTATCATTAACTCGATGTCGTAGGGTGTCAGTCATAGGAGGGATAAAACCATATTCTTCTACATAACCACACAAAATCGCAAGGAAACCTGGGGGACCACCATCGATAAAGTTGATCTTCTGCTCCTCCTCTTCCAATCCAACATCATGGAATGGTGTAATTCAAGTAACGTCAAACGTCTAGATAGAAATGAGGAGGGGCACCATCTTGCATGAAAGTGAAATCATATGAATCATCTTCAGTTTGGGGAAATAACCAGTTTTGAAGCATAACTACGTGTGTTATTCCTGTCACAGTTTTCTCTATGAAGAAAAAGGGTCCATACACCTTGGTTACTTTAGTGAATCTCTTTCATGTTTAATAACTACAGTAGGATTTACTTCGCAAAAAATATGAAAAGTGGATTCAACGGAAAAAAAACAATTGTTCAGCGAAATTGTCATGTTCCATATCATCTAACATGCTACTACAAAATTCGTATCTTTTGTTGTAGTGATCAGGACGCAATGCTTGCAATAACTGCAGTGTGTATACCGTTAGTTGAGGAATGTGGATTTGTTTGAGCTCCTTTAGTAAAGTGTACGAGCACACTCGATGTTCTCGTTCGATGTGCGAGGACGTCCCGTGCTTTTTCTTTTGCATATGCATCCATCTTCTACGAATTTTCGGATGCCCCTCGTAAATTTGCTTATGACGCGGTGGTGACGAAATGCTCGCTGAACTGCAACAATGGACTCTAGTTTTGCCAATTGTAGAACGCAGAAGGCTTCTCCTGTGATGTCGCCATTTCACTACAGACTACTAACCTGCAAATAAATCAAGAACATCAGCGCCAATGCGGCCATGATTGGAAGTTTTACCGTAGTAATAATATATATTAGTTACAATTTCTAGTTTTAGTTTGGAAGAAGTAAATGTTTGAAATCTGCTCTTTCATTTTGAATAACGCTGTATATTTGCGATTACTGGTGATAATAGAGAACAACCCAAAATTAAATTAGTACAAAAAATGTTCAGATGTTCACAGTTATTTTATCACAGCTATTTCGACAACTCCGTGGCTTTGCTTTATTAAATACAAAATGTGACAATATTCCTACATCTATATATACACTCAGGTAGTAATAGATCCTTAATTACCGATGTTTGCTATACATTTAAATTTAATTTGAAAATAACGACAATTATGAATTACTGTGTCCGCGTCTGAGTGTTTCCGATAAATAGAACAGTTTAATTTGTTCTGTAATTTAGTTATAGTCCAGAAAGTTTAAATAGTTATTTAGTCCCGTCTCTATGGTAAAACTTATACGCTTATGTATGGAGTTAATATGATTCAAGGACTGCAGTTATCTTTCCGTTGCTAGTGAAACAAGCAAAAACATCGTCTATTGTTCATGAAAATTTCTGCAAGTAGTGGACTCAGTGGGCTTCCCGTAATTAATCCTTCCTTAGCAATATAAAATTGGCCATTAAATTCAAAATAATTTTGGTGTAAACAAACTGAGTAAAAATATTGTGTATTATGTTCATTACGTCAATCGGTGGAATGCCAAGAAATAGATTTTGGACGTCAAAGGAAATTAGAATTGGCTTTTGAAGAATTGTAATGTCTTTAAGCTTGTTGATTAGTTGGAACAAATTTTTGATAACATATCTAGGTTTAGCGCCATTCTATGGGGCTGTTATAAAAGAAACTAAAGGGCCTAATTTTCACATCCTATTTGTGTAATTTAATTAACGAATATAATTTCGGAAGTTGAGAATTCATAATTATTAGTTGGTATTTTTCCCTGTTATAAAAAAGTGATAAATCTATAATTACCGTTTTGATTTGTTTTTGGTATATACATGTCTGGTTTAAAAAATTGTTTGGTTTTTTATAATATACTCTAGAGATTTTATTAAATTAGCTAATAGGAAGTATTAGTTGCATTGTAAAATGTCGTATTAGTTAAATTGTGTTGTGTTGTCGAAAAAGCTGTCATAAAGTAATAAATAATTGTGAAAATCTGAACATTTTTTGTTCTAATTTAATTATGTTAAATGGTTTTGTATCAAGTAGAAGCCACCTCAGTTCAATTCTAGAACAACCCATTGCTGTTTCTGGTATTTGTTTATAAATTTTGTGGAAATTTCTTTAAAAAACATTTACATTTTACTAAGGCATATTTTACTCAATATCTATAATATTATCTACCTATGGTAATGCTAACTTTCTACATGTAAATTGGCGTTAATTTCAACTTACTCCCGCAAAAACGTCTAAAAACAAGAACGAAGACAAGATAAATCAGCCACATGTAAATAAAGGTACATTTATAACTCGCAATCTCACATATTATACGACCTGTTCTGAAATGAAAATTCGCAGCCGTCCAAATGGGATTAAACTCGAACCTTTCGAGCTAAAAGTACACACATTCATTTGTTCAAAATTTATCGTATCGCTTTACAAATACGTATTAGGTCATTTCGTTAATGAAATGAGGACATTCAGTTGTCACAACGAAACTAATTTCGTTAATAGCGGGGAATTAAATAATGACAACTTGCAGTTGTTTTTACAGCAAGTTCCATTAAACGTAAAATGGGAACAATCAGACCATCGCACGCGATTGAAGAGCGATTTAGGAATTTACTTTTGGTAATCATCAGCAATATTTCCTGTTGCCGTAAAGTACATTTTAGAAATATCGTTGTCGTTAACTGTCGTTTTTGTTAAATATGACCTAAAATATCTGGTTTGCAAAATTTTAAACCTGCATTTTCTTTTGCTCGAAAAATATCAAGAGACAAAAGGATTGTACAGGATATCCACATGATATCATCCACTCATTTTCGAGCTACCTGGTGATTATCAAAAGTATGCATTTTGGATTAGTCCTTATAACTTTTTTCATTTTTGAAAATGTTGAACTTTTTGAACGGGACCTGCATTTTTTGAATTTTTACAGTGAATAATGCATCATTTTAAATGAGATTTTATAAATAATAAAAAGTAATAAAATGAAATATCAAATCTATGTAATATCTCAAAAACTAATGGCAATTTGATCCTTGTATTTTAACTGACAATCAAAAATAAAAAAAAATTAAAAAAAAAAACAAAATTTTAGGACAACTTTTTCATATGCATTTTTCAGAATCGGCACGTAGCTCGTAGCTCATATTCGAACTTTTCTCAAAAATCGAGTCTAGTATTAGATAGAGTATAAAAAAATGATTTTGCAAAAGCAAAATTTGTTTTTTTATAGTAAACCTTGATCGCTCCCAATGGAGAATCGGAAAGACAAAAGCATTTACAACCCAATTAAAACAAAAGTTTGGACAGTCCAATTATTGCTATAAACGTAGTGGCTAAAATAATATCCTCATTGACAAATGCCTTTATTGGCAGATTAACCTCAGTGTCAATTCTGAAGTTAATTAATTAATTAAGAGTTTTAACTTTAAGTCAGTTAGTTTTAGAAGCCTGTCTATTGACAGCGATCATAGCAAATAAAAAAACTTTGCTTTTGTGATCTTAAGAATGATAATAAATAAATCATTTGTTATGGTCTATCTAATAAGGAAAATACTAATCCCAATATCATGTCTGCGTACAGAAAACAGATAACTTTTTATATTTTCTCGAATGTCTCAGAAACTATTTACTCTGGAATCATTTTGCTGGTAGATTTAAGTTTGTTATAAAATTCCGCCCTTGTCTACACTGTATATGCCAGAAAACTGCATGACCCTAAAAAATGTATTTTTTTTTAAAAGTCGGTGATATGAGAGTCTTTGTATATTGAAAACCAGACTTCATATGAAATTTATACTTAATAAATAAAATAACATCAATTTTTCAGAAATCCTCAAGGAGGTCATGGCTCCTTATCGGATACAGATGAAGAAGAAGATGAGGAGGGGAACTACACCGTGTATGAATGCCCGGGGTTGGCTTCCGTAAGTATCGAATGATTTAGGAAGCAATGGTAATAAATATAAAATCATTTAATAAATCTGTATTGTAAGTTATAGTGAATAGCTAAATTAAAATTTTATCGATTTAATATCTGCTGGTTCATTGACTACATAATTTCCAAATTTTATTAAATTTCATATTTTCTTCATATTTAGTAAATACAGTAAATAGATGTGTCAAAGGTTCTATGCGTATCCCATAGAGAAACTGGTGATACTATGGGTTTGTTCAATATATAAATAAATATAGATAAATATATAAATAAATAAAAATAAAATATATAAATAAATATCCGCAAAAGATTGATAATAATTATTATTACACTATTGCTGTGCTAGTTTGTGCTGCTGTGCTATATTTTGACATTTTTACTGTCTTTTACATTTTCTCAAGTAATTCGTTGATGCAGTTTGATCAATATCCATTATCATTTAACTCTAATTTTAAAATAAAAACGGATATTCATAAAACTTGCAAGCTTTATACCGAAAGTTGTTGCGGTAGCTTTCTAACAAGCGTCCAAATTTGTCCAAATCAAGATATGTGCTTGGAATAAATAGGCAATAATAATTTTCTGTGGTATTTCAGATCGAGGGACCCTTGGAAGTAAAGAACCCTATGTTTGACGACGATCAGTTGACTACTCCTTCCCAAACTCCATCAAAACCGACCAATTCCAGTGATGCTAAGTAAATTTTCGCAACCCAACTAATTATTTATTTAATGTCAAGCAATGAAGATTTGAAGAAATGAAAATGATTTTTTATTTTGCCGTTTGAATCCCAAAAATTTGAAACATTTTTTGGAACAGATAATACAACATATCTGATACATATAGGTACTTGCTACATAACTTCTAAACATCATTACGACTGGATAACCTATAATGAAAGTGATACGTTTCACCTAATGTTTTAATTTTTTATAGGTTTATAAAAATAATATATGTATTTTACTTCTTTTTACATTTCTTAGCTGATAGTAAAAAGAGATTAGAAAAACGCCCATTCATGTAGATATTAGTCTAATATACATTATAAACTATTCGTGTTGAGGTCTTTGTTTATTTATTTAAATAATATATTATGGGGTTAGAAACACCCAAAGCAAAATATTTAAGAATATTATTGATAATATAAAAAACCAAATGTAATATATTGATTACTTAACTCCAGAATTGTATTTATTTAATGACATGGCTAACATATTTGAATCAAAAAAATATTGTAAAATAAATGTATTGGTTTATGACGTTCGTATTCTTTTTTACGGATAATTTAATTTAACTCTATGATACCGTGTTGTCGAATTTTTCTTATAGCAATCAAGCCAATAACGCTGCCAGTTTAAAAATACGATTGGCTAAATAAGGATTATTGGACACCTATGTATCTTCTTGAGTACCAGATTCCCCAAGCACAAATGGAACTGCCAATCATGTCAAATATTTGGAGCAATTTGGATTAGATTTAGTCTTCTAGTATGCAGTCATTAAAATGTTATAGTTAATCTTTATTTTAGTTATTATTAATTGTGTATAGAATGCACAAGATGCGAATCTACAGTAAAATAAAAATCAATTACCTACTGCATTGAAAATATATCTTTTTGGATATTTAACTTTAACTATCAGATAAAATGTCAGAATAAAAACAAAACTCAGAATCTATTCTCCCTATAAAAAATGACATCTAAATAAAATATAACTTTTATTGAAAATTTTCAAAGAAACTTTCAAAGTCTACTGTAATACTATTTACAAATCTTCTGTCAGTTTCAATTAAGCTCAGAAGAAGCCAATAGGATGATTGACGTAACATCAGCATGTTTAGTTAATCGACTCAGGAAGAATTAGGTATGGAGGTATGTAGTTTTCCCTCTAACAATAAGAAATACTTCATTGACAAATTAATGTAGTTTAGGCTAAATAAGAAAAAGATTAAATTAAGACAAATTTTATTTAATTCAATAATTAACTAACAATGGAATTCTTTAATTTTAAGATATATTAGTGTTTTCACAAGTTTTGACCATAGTTGCCAAGTTATGTATCAATGACAATTATATAAGCACACAATTGAAAAAATTTATGAAAACCAGTAGCCAACATATTTTTAATGCAGATTATGTAAGTCTATGTTTATTGCATAACATTATGTCAAAACAAATCCACAAAATATAAAATATATTAGGTTGAAACATTTACACATCACAATTTATAAAAAGGACTTTTAACAAATTAACAGGTTAAATTAAACCACCAATACTGATTCTCATTAAATAAATAAATACCTGAAGTAAATTTTAATATTTTAGATACATGGATTATGGTTATTTGTTTGTAACCCAGGAGTTGGTCAGTAACCAAACATAAATGTTATTATTAAATGAGTAAATTGTAACTTGCAGCATTTTATTGTATACTATTTTTATTTATTTATTATTTCAAAAATTAGGTGTCATCATACTTAAGTGTTAAATACATAGTTTTTTTCAATGTGCCCATCGTGTTTTATGTTGGCGACTAGACATTACAACTTGAATACAAGGTCATTGCGTCGTATTTGTAATTTTGCAATATGTTATATAAAACAGCCAAATGTATATACAACATTAAGCATATAATTTTGTAAAATTATAAAATTAATAACTTTAAACATATTAATATCACAATAGTCCACCAACTCGATAGATCCCAATTCCTTAGTGTTCTGCTTTGTTAAGCAAAAACCAATATATACCAAACAAGAAACTTGGTGGACTGTTTATAACATCTTTTTGAGTAACATACTTCTTAATTTCATCAATGGTATATTCAACCACTTCAATAATTTCATCTTCTACACCTCCACCACTTGATACTTTCATGTCATCAGTAACTTCACAATAAAAGGCAGTTTGAAGGCTTGCTTGGGTTCCCACACCAGATCGGTAGCTACCTATTAGGTTGAGTGAATTTACCTGTACATTATAACCACATTCTTCCAAAACTTCTTCCCGGGCAATTTCAGCCAGTGAAAGATTTTTGTCAACGATACCTGCACACAATTCAATAGTAATTCCGTTCTCGGGTGGATATTTTTTTAAGTCAATTTGCTGGCCCAATTGTCTGTCTTCTAGAGGAATTAAGCCAATGTAAACAGCTGGCCGAAATTGTTTAACAAGTACCAGTACATTTCTGGTAATATTGAAAATTATTATAGCTACACTATCGTGAACAGCCAACAAATCCCATGTTCTTGCTGTACCGTTCTGTGTAAAATGCATAGTGTAAGGTTTCATGTAAATTGATTTTTCCAACGGTTTAACGACCACATTTGAAATGTTATCCATATTTTACTTCTTCATGAAATTAGGCTTACCGATTTAGAAAAACAGTAATAAAATTGTAAAGTGCAAGAATACCTGCCCCTGAAAAAATTCAAATATCTACTGCAGTCAATTTCATTACCATGAAGTTATGTCATTACCATAGATCAAAAGGGAAAATCCAATATGTGATCTTCTTCGTCATTTAAAATTAAAATTAACAATTCTCAACAACTCAAATCAAATCACAATTTTTCCATGTTCTCCTTGTGTGTGAAGTGACCGAATCCTCTTAGCAGATTTGCCTAACGGAAGTAAAGATGAAGAGGAAAAGAAATATATTCACAGAAAACAATAACCACACACTTTAGTGGTCTGTGATATATTATCACTGTTTTCTATCCCAAGTTATTCTGTGATTGTTTTATAGTTTGTAATACTCGTTTTCGTTTTTTAGTTTATTTGATAGCGTCCTTAATAATTCACAGCTAAAATTTGGTAAAAGTGTGAGTGAAATTTATACCGGTTGCGAATTGTAAAAGTGAATTATAGTAATTCCGATGTCCTCAACTTAATATCGAGTAGACGCCAAAGCCCTTTGGTAGACATTATTATGACATACAAACGCAGGTAAGTTTTTGCACTACTCCTTTTATGAAATATTCTGAATTTTGCGTAAATTTGAAAGATGTGACTTCTAATTTTGAAAATTTTGTTGAGGAAGGCAAGCTTGACTTGAATAAGTAATCTCTGGTAGGTAGTTGATTAGAATCGATAATTCAAAATTTTATTGACTTCGTTTTAGGCTATTAAAAATTTGCATAAGACCTCAAGAATTTTCTTGCTCCAGTTTAAGTCACAGCTAAACTTCGCTGTGCAATATATAATAAGTAACTCCTACCACTTTCGACCACACAGTGTTATGTATCTCAAACCTAAAATCTAAATAATGAGGATGCCGCTAGAAATCTTTATTTATGATAATGTACTTAAATTAGACCAGACAGATGTTAAGCGTTGACCTTCATTTAGACGAGCCATTGAACATATTTCTATAACAGCGCCCGCCAATTTTATTTTATTTATGCCGGTTTGGTCGGCCGTTTAAATTAATATGCAGAAGTATGTTGCATAAAACGCAACGCAATGAGAAACGGAAACGTTTAATTTAAATGTATTATTTAATAGGTAGGGTCGGTTATACCAGCACATTCGTAGAGTATCAATAACTACTCAATATATTCTGAAATTGACTTAATTATAGGTTTAATTAGTTTTAGAAAAATCCCTATATTTAAAAAAACCTACAAAACATTTTCATATTGAGGAACAATGCCAGTTTTCCAATGACATGCATCTTTACATCTGCTTATTGATATTAATTTGCCCTCGTATAGTTATTAAGTTCACCTACCGCCAAGTAAGTACTGTTATAAACAGCAGATGTGATGGCCATTTCTCGAATGGCAATAATCAGTCAAGGTGATGAGAAACGTCATCATATAAATCAAAATAATGATGGCATGCGTAGTATACACAATTTTAAGTAGGTATGTAATTGAGACTAAACACGTCTTGAAGTCTTATATTTGTTTCTCGGCATATGAATTTGCATTGCTTTAAAATTTAATTTTAAACCAAATATCAATGAAAACTGATCATCATTGAAAGCAAGATAATTTAAAGTTTTATATGTACCCACTTAGAGAGAAATTTTCTTCATAAACTTAACCCTTTGCACTCGTATATATGTCCTTTCGCGAGTACTTGAAACTTGAAAATCATTAAATAAAAAGTAATGGATTACACAAATAATAAATCTTGATGATAGAGGAACACAAATAAAATCTAACATTATCATTATCACTACCATTATCATAAAATAAATTTATACACAATATAAAAAAATTACATCCTATAATGTTGCAGTGTATGGTATGGTCTGTTCATAGATATACGAAAGTGACCAATTGCTTTAGAATGGACATAAAATGCAACAAGATTATTACCTAAACTTTCGAAATTTAAATTCATGTAAAATTGTGGTCCGTAATAGAAAATAATTTTATACCTACCTGTGTTTAATATTCTTTGGTTTGGTATACTACTTAGTTTAAATTTATTAGTAATCATTCTTATTTCGTGTGTAATACAGTGTGTGTTTAAACGTGTGCGAATTATGCAAAATATATGCGAGTCTAGTGCATCTCAGGAGATGCTCCCGCTCAAATGTAGAAAACACTATTCTACTGAGGCTAAGGAAGTTATAAACAATGTTTATTTGACTCCCATTGAACGTGGTCCAGCAAGCGAGCATCTTTAGAAAAAACGGCCACATTGACGAAAATTCCAACATCAACATTTCAGAGAGGAAAAAAAGAAGCGATGCTGACATTTTCTCGAGTGTAGATGAATATAATACGGCTTAAAATTTACCAGTTATACGAGGAACAAAGCGTGACTACATTAGATATCTTAATTAGGAGGCTTGAAAAAGATGAAACCGGTGTTAAATGTGGCACAACTACGTTATGGAAGTGCATTCAACACATGGGTTTTAGATTTTAAAACATTGACAAAAGGCAAGTTTTAATGGAATCTTTTAGAATTCGGAAATGGCGACTGGAATATCTAGAAAAAATTAGGATTTACAGAGAACAACAAAGGTCAATTATTTACTTCGATCAAACCTGGTTCGACACATTGATACCCCCAAAAAGGGTTGGGTTGACTCAACTGATAAGTGTATAACAAACGCGCCACCAAAAAGAGGTAAAAGAATAACTATTTTGCATGCTGGATTCCAAATGGACTTTCTTTGTCTGCGAAAAATATTAAAGATTTTTCTCTGGATTACCATGAAGACACCACCGCTGATTTATTTGAAAGTTGGTTTAAAAACAAACTAGTTCCAAACATTCCTCCTAATAGCGTCACTGTAATGCACAATGCAAGTTATCACAGTAGACAGTAGACTAAAGCCCCTTCCTCATGTGACACAAAAGCAACCAAAAGTATACCAAAAAGCAATTAATTGAGGTTCTACAAAGCTCGAACCTACAAAAGGAATACATCTGTGATAATTATGCAAAAAATCTAGGGCCTACAGTTTTAAGGCTTCCACCTTACCACTGTATATTTAATCCCATTGAACATGTTTGGCACCAACTGAAATCTGCCATTCGTCGTAACAATGTTTTTCCCAGTGTTAAATCCAATATCCTCAAACTTATAGAAACCGAAGTTTTTAACATCCCTCCACAAAGTTGAGCAAATTCTGTTAAACATAGAAAAAGCAGAACAATCGTATATCCATATTGCAAATAATATAGAACAAATAATAATTAGAACAGGCGATGATACCCATAGTGATACTGATGTATTATGTGAATAATTTTAAGTAATTTAAGTAGGTAATAAAAATAATTTGTAATTTTATTTTAGATTTAATAGATTTGATTAATAAAAGATTAGATTAATAAAAACATGGCTAAAGTCTTTGTTTAGTTTGCATATATAGACGAATCTTGGACCTTCAGTAACAAAAGCACCTACGAATGGGGCCTTTCTGTGAATTTTACCTTTACCAATTCAAACGGTTCCGTCGATCAGGAAATTAACGGACGTACGTTAAATTACTGTTCACGGGTATTTTCCTCAAATAATTACCGAATGTCCTCGGCACGGTTAATTAATAAAAGTGCATGGCGAACGGGTTCGAGGATTGGTTAATTTTTAAATCGTTGCCATCAATTAGTTTTGTTCGTATAACGTAAGTGGTGCGCGTTTTTTACTTTCTAGTTTGGCATTCCTTTACACGTCTCGAAAGTTCAAAGTTTTGATTAATATTTTATTTGGTAAAAGTTTAAAATATAGGCCTGAAAATTCAGTATTTTATAGTTTTCTAGTTTTTCGACATCGACCGAAAGTAATTCTGTGACTAGATTCTAAGATATCATGCACTCTATCCCTAAATATCGATTTTTTTAAAACTATCTTGAGAGCTATACATTTCCTGACGACTTTTTGTGATCAGCTTGTTGTGGTGTAGTATAGTGATATACCAAAAGTTTTATCTTCTTTGCACCCATTAGAACTTCTGTCAACAACATCGAAAACGCGCGAAAACTATAACGTCGAATACGTTTTTAAATCGTTCGCCGTAGAGTTTGAGTTAGCTGTTTTAGTTAAATATTAATGCTTTGCCAATTGTAATTTTAGTTTAGGCAACCTCTTGGTACCATACGAGAATGTAGGTTATAGGTGTAATTATAAAAGGTCAACCTACCTACTCCTAGTTGTTTTGTCCATCACGAAGGGTAAATCACTCATGAAATCTGGTGTACAAGCTCTGTGAAAGTTAAGGGGATAAAAAAATATTTTTTTCTGTTTTTCTTTTTTATTTGGCTTTAATTGCATTTTGTACAAGCTCTGTGAAAGTTAAGGTGATAAAAAAATATTTTTTTCCGTTTTTCTTTTTTATTTGGCTTTAATTGTATTTTTTTATCTACAGAAAATTGCTGACTAAAACTGAAACTGAAGAAAAAAATATAAACAAAATTTTCAAAAGCAGTTTTAAGTTTTTTGCTTAATAGTTGTTTAATTACGACGGAACGCATATATTTGCCGCGTAAAAAAAAATCAAAATGGGAGAAATCTGGGAAATCTTTGTAGAATTCGTAAAATCTGAAACCGGTGAAATCCGTGAATTTATGTCTGTTCAGCACATCCATGCTCCTAAAATCGTTCATCTTTTCTAACAAAACTTCCTCGATATAAATTTCACAGTTGTTTTCTATTAATCCTCGTCTACAAGTAGCTCATTGTCTGATTCAACTGATATCTCTTGACGTGGTTTTGTCTGACATAGGTTTCTCCATAAAAACATCCGCTTTGCCTCCCTGGCTAATTCCAAGTGAGAGTTTTTAAAATATATTTTTACCAGTAAGGATTGATGAATCACGTTAACGTCATTATAGGTTAAATGTGAAAAGTGAATAGTGAATAGAGGGTAGAAAAAAATAATTATAAATAAAAAACTTTTTAAGTTCTTTAATATTACACAGTACAGCTGGTCTGATTTCACCGAACTCTGCAAAGTAAACGCCAAAATGAATTATTGTTGGACCTGCGTGTGATATATAGTGGCAGCTTTTAGGTTAGGTAGATACGTGGAAACCGTGGAATCCTGCAATATGTTTCACAAAATTATTTTAATAAATTTTATCGAATCGTAATAACTTATTTATTTCTTTACTTCGACCTACCCATATTAGAAATTTTAATATCTCAATATATGGGTTAACTCAAAAACTATTGACCTAAAATTGAATTGAAATTGTTTGAGTAAACCTCGGAGGAAATAGTTTGTCCAAATATTGTGTGATGCGCTATGCATATTATCGTCCAAACGTGTTGGTATTAAACTTTTTGTCCTTTTTAAAGTGTACAAAATATTCCAGCTCACACGAGTTTCCATCATCCATCGACGTTTATTTGCTTTGCGCAACAAAATTGACATTTTTATATTTGAAAATAAAAAAGTTGTGGCATGGGACGTTAATTGTGGGACAGCCTGTATAAAGATTTGATAATTGGCAAGGATGTAGCTATTACGACTTTGAGAAGACTTTTAACAATGTTTCTTTACAAACTCCTTCTAAAATTAGATAATACTGAATCCTTCCGTTGGCAACTGTTATCCATGAACGTGTTAATACTGTAAAACAAATTTATAGTGTTTCTTAAAAAAAAAACTGTACTTCCTGGAGAATATAGCGCCCCGATAGGGGTGAGCGTGTAGATAGAAATATGGAGAATAGGTATACTTATCGTATAAGGTTTCCTCTTTTCCGGACATCATTTTTCTCTGTACGCAAAAATTACGTTAATTACTTTTTTCCTAAATGACTCATAAAATTGCTATGCTCTGACGATAATGATAACTTGCAAGTAGTGCCGGAAACCGGCTGATAATCATAAAGCTGAACGCCCGCACCCTTGATAAGAAAATTGTAATTGTAATACCAGCATATATGGAAGGTTTATCGTCGATGTTAGCGTTAAAAGGGAAGCGCACGTCTTTCAAGTAAAAAATTGGGAGCACCTTATATACAATGTAAGTCTCTACTCTAACTTGAATTAAATCCGTTAATTCAAATAGGTTTTTTTTTAGTTGTGATTTGATAAAATAGCGTCATTTCGCAAATTTGGGACACGATAATTTTTACCATTTTTGTGGTAAACGTTTAGGGACTAATTGCATATTTTAGATATATTACGCATATTTGCACATATTTACAATAATTGACCACATAAAACTAGAAAGTTATTCCACGTATAAACTACATGTGCCTAATCAACAACGACCGTAGTAACTACTTTGAAAGTCAATTGCTCGAGGTTCAACAGACAGCTTAAACAACTTACTAACAAATTTGCTGGCATGCTTTATATCTTAATATACAATAAATGAAGTAATTTTTTTAGAGATTACCGAAAAAAAACAGACGACTGAACTTGCTTTAATAAATTTAGTCGATCAAAAAAAAACATAAAGTGTGGTGCACGCTGAGTTCGGGAGTGCGCCACATCTATCTTTTTAAAATATTTACGCAGCGTTGCGAATACCCAGCACACAGAAAATTCAAATGAAACTCCATCTATATTGTTCGAGTAACTTATGTTAGCATTTCTCAAGGCCTTAATTAAAGCTTAATATCTTTTTTATTTTATTTTGTACGGGTTAGCTAATATATCTCAATAATCAATGCATTACTTCGCTGGTAAGTTGACTTATTTTTAAAAAAAATGAAAATATTTTTAAAAAAAATGTAATGATGTCAAGAAACTGGTTGGAAATTAAGGCGTATGAAAATGAGCGCTGAAAGATGTCAGTGTTATGATGTGGCATAGTTGTTTGGCATTATTTTTAATATTAGGACAGTGATCTGCAAATATCAGAAGTACAAATAAGGAAAAGCAGGAAATCCAAAAGTTAAGTATGATTTGAGACGATTAGAACCGTAATGTCGTAGTTTAGCCACTAAAAGCACTAAAACAGAACTCGTAATAAGAATACATTAGTTGAAGCTGTCGACATACCAAACGCTTTGCGAAAACCACACTTAGTATTGGGAATGATATTATTTTTTGTACACAATTTGAAAAAAAAAAGTATATTACTCTCCATAATTTTTAATATAACCCTCAACGTGAATAACCCTTTCTATGTGGACCTCAAAACAACACGATATAATCTTTTTTTTAAATTTTTTCTGTCTCAAATGAATATTATTACATAGCATGTGCGAGTTATCTAGAACATTCATGTCATGTCATTTGCACCTGTTATCAACTGATGGACGTCCACAGGGGCAAAGACGCGTTCAGGCTGAACTCCTTTTATCATAATTATCCTACCCGAAAAAGTGACTTCCTTCGCCACAAGAAACTTATATAGTATACTAAAAGCCAAAAAAATTTGTTGAATCTGTGTATAATAAACTACCATCAAATGTTAAGGCACTGAGTAATAAAAAATTAAAAAAAAAACTGTTTCTTCTCCATCTTTTTTTTCACTATTGTATTACTAATTGTATTATTGTTAAGGCAGAAAGTAGTCAATAAAGAATATATTTATCTGTCTATTATATTACAAGAACAAAATAAAAAAAAAAACGATATTTTCCAAAATAGCCTCTTTTTTAAATATTTTTTTACAGATAAATTAAATAACTTTCGTTAATTGATGTATTTATTATTTGTGAGGCAGATGCTAATCCCCAGGATGAAAATTTGGCAAAACTCATTAATAAAAAATATGATGCGATGGAACGATAAATAATAAATAAAAAAGTTATTTTCTCGATTGCGTGAATTCACAAATAAAAATGTATGTAATTTTTGAGTGTTGGGTATATAAGAGCAAACGATAACCTCTCGGCGAAGGTCGTACCCGTTAATTAAACTTTTTTTGCACGCGTTTTAAGAAATCACCAAGTTAATGCCACGATTTGGGTCAGATTAGGCCGATTTCGTACAACGCTCCGATGCGCCGGTAATTCTTTTCCCCCAATGGCTGAAATTACCGGCGAATTATATCAACAATAACGTACACTGCCTGTCTACGGTGGTTAGTATACTACCTCCACGTTCGTTTCGTCACGAACGGTAATTATTATTGTTGGTTATTTTCTATTTTGCGTCGCGATACCGTGCGGGCCGCGTCGAGCTTTTTTATCGGTCGGAGCGGAATTTTGTAATAGTCGGAACATTGCGTTAATTCGATTTTCGACGCGTTCGAATATGAAAGTGATGATAATGAGTGACAATGAGACCGGAAAACGCAAAGGAAACTGTTTGGTACAGTGTGCCCACACCATCTCGTTTTTAGTAAGTTTTCCCTTAGCCTCTGATACTCTGATATTATATCCGTTAATGATCGTAAATATATAAACTGTTATGCTAAATAATTGCAAAATCAGTCCATGGGCCAGCAGATCTGCAAAGCTACAAAAGAAAGGCTGTAATAGGTCTACTGTCGGACCACTGCCGGCTTAAGTGGCATCTAAGGCGAATGGAACTGGAAGAATACAAGAAGAGCAAGAAACGGGACACGTGTGCTATGCCAATGTGAAGGCCTGTCTAGAGCGTAATCCGGAGGGTACGATTTACACCAAGGAGGTACTATCGAAGCTGCGGAATCTAATCACAGAGACGAACCTAGATAAAGCATTGTAGTGATAGAGACACTCACAATAAATTTGAAATTGTAAACTTTTGTATTTCTAAAATTTCACATTTACCAAACATTTTAAAGATTTAAGATAAACTTTTTTATCGAGGTATTTATAATTTTTTTGCTGACCTGTGCAAAAATATTATAACGGAACACACCATCATAAGAAACCTGCAAAATCTATTCTAATAGGGAAATTTAAATCCTCTTTGACCTGTTGTGACGTCAATTCGCTCGTAATTTTAGTCTTGATCCTGTCGCTTCCTTTTGTTATCTTGTGTTTAGTATCAAAAAGAAAGTTTTGAAATTGACCGAAGCCGATTTTTTAAAAGGCCAATCTGATAATTTACCTTCAGTGAATATGTTCATGGTGACATCCTACATACAAGACACCGAAAGTTTTTTTTTGGTGACGTTCGAGGTTTTAAAGCTAAAAGGTATGTTCATATAAAAAATTTAGCCACTAGTTTTAAACCAATATAATATTGTAATCAGCCCAAAGTTAAGGCTAAAGTGACACCTCAACATAATGTTAACAAAAAACAATCGTTTTCTGGTAAACGAATAAAAAATTTAACTAGCGCGTTACGGGTTTTACTCAAACACGATGGCACGATTTGTAATATTGTTTTTGTGTTGCTTCCACTATTATCGTGTAAAGCGCACTAAGGACAAATACAAACTGGCGTAGATTAATTATAAACACACTTTTACACGAGCCGAAAATAACAGTAAATAATATAATTCTCGTCCTATAACCTGAGAATATCACAGCGGTACGACGTCACAATCAATCCCGCTTGTTTAGTTTCTTTTTAAAGGAATGGTTATTTATTGCAAATATTGGGTTTTGAGTTTTGATTTTTGGGATGCGTTATTTCTATACATAAACAAATGTATTAAAGAAATTTAAAAAAAAAATTCAATTTCCCTATTCTCAGTACCTTTTTGTTTGTAGGCTAGTTCAGAAAAGTGTAGAGTAATAAAAATTCCTCCCAGTTCCGGTCAATTTTAAATAGACTGAGTTCTCATTTTATTTAATTAGTTAATTATAACCTCAAGAGATGACATGGCGAATAATATTGTAATTTGGTTTCTGTATGTATTATTTGTATAAAAATAAGAATATCTAATACCATGTAACTGGTGATCCACTATAAATGTTGCACCCCATCACTTTGTTATTAAAATTTATAGAAAAAGTTTAATACAAAAGTTGTAGGCTTTTTAAGTTGGAATGATATTATTTCATAATAGTAAAGGCGCTTTCACACTAATTTCAAAAATATGTAACATATAACAAATAATATCTGTAATTTTTTACATTAAAGCCAGGATTCACTTTGTCGGCCGTACATCACCATGGCGTCCCACGCCACGTCTTTCGTTTAGTTATGACAGCTGTCGCATATCAGGCTGTTATTATTGTTCAAACTATGACTAAAGATAATGTTTTCACTTGACAAATAATTCTAAATATTTTCGCTGTATATAAAAAACTAAGATAAGGTTTGACGCTTAGCATTTTGTAGACATATGTTGCCATATAACGAGCTAAACTTTGGTGTGCTAGTGCTAGTGAGGATGTTTCCAAATAACTATCTAAACTTCCAAACCATCTGGTTTGAATATTGAATTCCAGTGATTCCTAGTCTAGGCTAAGCTCGCATTGCCCACGCTTTTTTCATAATATTTTATGGATTGACGGATTGACTGTCCCGGCAGATAGATAGATAGATAAGTTATAAACGGTATCGACTGTATATTCAGGAAAATGGAGAAAACATTCAAAATCTACCCCAAGAATCCTAATAAATGGATTAGTGTTTATATATTTGTATTATCTATATATTTTTTATGTAATATGTTCGCTCACCGTATTCGCCTTTTCGTCAGTTTTTTATATAACACTTTCAAATTTTTCGTCAATTGAAAATATCATTCTTCAATATATATTATCAATTATTGGTTTCCAAAATAAATGAGGGGGGTGGGGGGTAACATTTATAACGGATCACTACATGCATAATGTCTACTTTTGCCATTTGCCATTTTCATTGTCAAATTAAAACGAAAAATTTTTGGTGTTTGCGCACTCTCAGATTGGAGTCGTTCCCCATAGTACATTTATCGTTTTCCAAATAAATTCAAATATCTACGTACGACTAATATACCAGAGCCTGTATAAAAAATTACACGTTTTGTTTACAAAATGAACCACGCTTTGACGTTGAAACGTGATTCGCGAAATTGGTTCACGTTTTCATTAAATTTCTTTTCGTTTTAATCGCACTTAATACCGTTCAGTTTTAAGATACAGTTGTCGGTACAATCTTGTCGGTCTCGCGTATGTCGATTAGGTGGTAGAATGGGCGTAGTTGCCTCTAGTGATAAGTACAATGTAAGCGGCGCTGCGCTAGAGAACAAACGGAGGTATTTTCGCAAATTTGCGAGTTTTATTGTATCTGTGAGTATTTTTTTTTTAGGCTGCGTCCTATTTTTTAAAATTTTTCGGGAAAATACATATTAGAGCAATCTGAGACCGGTGAGAATTTTTGTTTTTATCTACTCACAATTTCATTTCGGGATTCAAGAATAGAGGACGTTATGAAAGTTCAAAGAAGAAAAAATTAAAGAAAAACTTTCAATACAAACTATATTTAATAAAACAAATTCAATAATGTATTTTTTTTGCTGTTGTTGACATCGTTGAATCAAACATGAAGCTTGTGATTGTCTGAAATATTATGGATCTAAGTTAATTTTTTAAATATACTTGACTTCGAACGCAAGATTAATTTTCCCAATGGCATTTTGCTGAATTTTTTGAAATAAAAATACTTTACCCCTGTACAGAACTTATTTTTGATGACTTACCGTGTATACCGTTTGACTTAGTGACTAGTGCATCTAAGAATTTTATGTTGGCGGATCTATAAGTAAAAAAAATACCATACGTTGCGCGCTTTAGTGATGACACTGTAAAAGGCGAGTGAAAGGAATTTATATCTAGTTTTTTATCTAATTCAATCACGGTTCTGATATGTCATCAAATTTTTGCACTTTTTCTTATCTTTCTAAAATACGATGACAAATGCATATTGGAATCAACGGCAAAATTCCGTTTTCTGTTTTCCAAAGAATAGTTTTTTTGAAATGATCCGCCGCGTACCCTTTTCGTATTTATTTTCAGCAATGAATGAATGTACGATAAAATTTTGTAGGTTGTTTGCAAACATGGTATTTATCTTTTATTCGGCAAAAATTCCGTTTTCTCTTTTCCAAAGAATAGTTTTTTGAAATGGTCCGCCGCCGTATCCTTTTCGTATTTATTTTCAGCAATGAATGAATGTACGATAAAATTTTGTAGGTTGTTTGCAAACATGGTATTTGTCTTTTATTTGGCAAAAATTCCGTTTTCTCTTTTCCAAAGAATAGAATTTGCTATTTGGTATATATCTGGCGAATTTGGTTTCCCTACGAACAATATAAAAAAAAGTGCGTATTACTTTCCTCTGGCTATTTTTTGTTTTTGAAAATATTGCTGCGATATTGCAAACCATTTTCACTTTTCACAAATGATATAGAACAGTCCAGTCAAAATAAATCATGTAAAATGCAAGCGGTCATACCTGATAATGTCACAATTACAGGTCAAAAGTAGGTAATGTAGTAGTTCTTGGTGGGTTTTGGTGGTTTATAAAATCACTAACATATTTAACAGTATTCATTATTTTTTGTTAAGCTCATACTTAGTTAAATCAACAATAATTGAGGATCTGTTAACCAATTCACTGGTGACATACAGAAAATTTGCAAGTCTTCGATTTTAAAATGGCTTGGGTTGACGTCATTAAGACGATATACCTTTCCAATATGTTAACACATATACCGGATGTATCTCGGGCCTTGGGAAAACTTGCGAAAAAAAGTTATCTTTAAAATATTACTCTTGAGAGTTTATGCATGACGATAACCTTAAAGGCACTGCTACTGGGGTTGAATGTTTAATACCTGCAAATACCCTTGCAGGAATTATCGCATTTGCAAGGTATTCAAAAAGTATGGCAATGATGTCAACGCCTTCTCCAACTAATTATTGTATAGTTTATTATGCAACAAGGTTTGTTTGTTATGTATATTTGTTCTGAAACCAGTAGTTTCTGAGTACATTTTTCCAAAAGGGCACGGGGTATGTTAGAATAGGAAGTAGAAAAAAACAAACGCTGCTGACACAAAGTTTTTTCTCATAATTTCTGAAAATTTTCCTATCCAAATAGTGCTACTTAAACCCTGTTTTACCGTTGCATTTTTTTTTAATATGTTTATATTTTAAACGACCCACTACATGTTATTCCGATAACCCAAGTTGATATTCAAATAAAAGCATCATTTCTTACCAGTTGTGGCGAAATAGTTTAAACAAAAAAAAAAACGAAATTCGTTAAAAGTTATGATGTAGCTATTTTAACACGAAGGGGCAGTTCTAGAAACTTGACAATAATTTCTGGCAACTTTTCATTGCCCCGGTACATAAAATTGAGGTAAAAGCGCATATTAACGTCGCATAACAAGAAATCCTAGAGCGCACAACCAACCTCTCACATTAGAAATCTATTGGTATGAGTAAAAAGGATTTAGTCTGGGGCGTGTCTTATTTAACAAATTCAATAGTTTCATAGATTTTTCTATGATAACTTGCATAATTTTCAATTTGTGTACAATTTAGGTAATTTCTATCATAATTTTCATCAAACAACGGAAAAAGCGGAGAAACAAACGACCATTGTAAGCGTTTAATAACAGCGATATTTTTGTTCCAGTTTCATCACTTGAAGTCCAACCATGACCTGAAAATGCTGCGATACTCCGAAATACCAAGGGATATTTCTGGAGATAGTCTTGCCACGCTTAAAATCTCCGAGGTATGAAATAAATATTTACGTCAGCTTTGCGATGAGAAAATGATGAAACGCAGACGTTTGACACGTTGATTACGTACTATTACGTTAATATCGAACCTTAGGATTTATTAGCAAAAGCGTTTAATCAGCGCCAGGATTAAATTGGTGTTAATGAACAATAATGAAAAATAAGGTTTAGCGTTGTGTCAATTTAAATCTAAATCTTAACGACAATTAGATCTGTACTAAACCTAGGCTGGTTATACCTTTAGTTTTTGCCGTATCTGAGATCATAAAAGATGCAGATTTTTTCATTTTGAAAGTGACACCCTGGTGTGCAGAAATCGTTATTTATTATTTTGAGGCAAATATACAGCGAAAAAAAGTTTCACAAATCGCAAAGAAAAGACAAGACATGTTAATTCAGGTCCACCTTAAACTCGCTGTATCTATAGATCTCAAACAAAATTTGGTTAGTCTATTGGTATAGTTTGTCTAGTTTGTCTTATTTCTTGAATATTTTAGTTTTACCTCATCCTACCTAATGGACAACATAAATTTTGCAAAGTCATTGGCGGAGATACTGGAATATATGTCTACCAGTCGCACCCAATGTCATATTTTTTCAATTCGATTGAACACAGGTTGGGTGCAGACTTAGCAGGGATTATTGCGTTTTCTCCTGCTATGATATAAATCATTTTCTCTAGAATAATTTATGCAAACACGCATACTGTTAAAAAATTAACACTTAAAAAATTGAATGTATTTTAACTGACACAATAAACAAGTATTCCTGTCAAACCTCTGTAACCAAAACTACGAATTTTAAAAGACGTATAATGTACCCATTGGCGTAAAAGTTGAGGCACAAGTCACATACATACTACCCAGTATCTACGGTCCTGGCTTTCCAAAAAACAACTTTTTTTCAAATAAAATACCAAGCATATGTAGCTTATGAATTTTCAGTTGGATTGGCTTAAGAAAAACTCGAATATTCAATAAAAAATATAGGCGATTTCAACCCTATATCATTGGTAAAAAGATTTTTTTTAATTTTTAAACCTTCCTTATTGCAGAATCCCGAAGATTTCAAGATCAGCTCATACTCAAAGGACTCGAATAACCTGTCTGTAATTTTTAACCCTCGTAGTACAAAAACGGCCGACAATAAATGCAGGAAGATATCGATGCCGTCGGTGTCTAGCGGCCCGGGGCCCCCCGGAACCTACGGGTAACCTCTTTAGTTCCGTTTAAAAACTTTTTCTTTCCCGTTTCCTTCTTTATCCGAAGCACCGCCACTCTTTTCTTCCAGAAACTGTCTGGCACCCGTATCCACGCACGTCAAATCTAGCAGCTTACCTAATCACGCTTCCGCTCGGTGGTGTAGCCAGAACTATAGCTGCGCCGTTTTCGATATACTCAGGATACCACCGGAGGACTTTGCCGCGCAACTCACGCTACTGGACCTGCCGGTGTTCCTCGCCATCCAACCCGACGAACTTGCCAATTGCGGATGGATCAAAAAGAACAAGCTCAGCGTGGCGCCCAATGTGGTCGCGTTTTCACGACGCTTTAATCACGTGAGTTTTTTCTTTCGAGCTTCCTGCTCCGCGTCACGGCCCTGAACCGCACTTTTCCGTTCGCAGATCAGTTTTTGGGTGGTGCAGGAGGTACTGGCTTGTTCGAATTTAAAACAGCGCTCGGAAATGTTGACTTATTTCATAAAAATCTCCAAGAAGCTGTACGATTTCAACAATCTGCATTCGCTGTTCGCCATTATTTCAGCCTTGCAAAGTGCCTCCGTTTACAGGTAACTTTTTATACTGGTGATATATGGAGAACCGGAAATATATTTTTTAGGTCATGCGGCTTTTGAAATATTAAATTTTTGTCGTTTCTTTAAAAAAGAAAATAATAAATTTTGGGTGCAAAACTCAGTAAAAAAAATAGTTAAAATAGAATAGAATGTGAATTGTTATTAGTTAACCGTAGACCAGGATTATTGCTGTTTCACGACAGATTCTAAAGTTTTAGGACTTGCATATATGATGGTCTACTTAATATTTATTTAAACGTTTTCGAGATTCCAATCGAAATTCAACAAGCGGACATGTATGAAAATATAAAGTTTAGCCTGTTTTTGTGTGTCACATGAGAAATTTTAATTTTAAACAACCCCGTATACGAGGGAATCAATTTGACTGCAGAATTCTGTCACACATCTTCTAAAATATTTTTTAGTTCGATAGAACATACTCCAATCCCAAGTACCTAAATTTAAAAAAAAAATGCATTTTCGGTTTCTGTAAACACCTAATTCAGCGCGTGGTTAAATGAGGTCCTGCGTTCAGTTTTATTTCTTAAATAAGTATTTCTCAATAAGTAAAATTATGGAAAAAATGGACCCTCAATAGGAATAAGTAAAAATAATTTATTATGCGTTGTCATTCCTAATAAAAACCACATTAAGTGTAAAAAATGTAACACGCATTAAAAAAGCAGACGTCAAAGAATAGGTTTTGTTTTTGCATAATTTTTGAACATAAATTTGAACTATTCAAAAAAAATTCAATTCACTTTTGCACACAAATTAACAAGAAGTAATTTAGGTGGGAACTCCTTATTATTCAAATCTTAACTGTTTAAATGATAATGTTATTTTGATACTCATAGGAATAATGGAAATAATAAACTGTGTTTGGAAAATTTTGTTGTATTACAAAAAAATATTTTTGGCCAGCTCTCTAAGTCTGTATAATTAAGGAAAATTTTACCCACGAAAAAAAGTTCAAAGTATGTTCACGTGAATTTTTTATGTTAGGAACTTTTAAACTCTTACGACAAAAAAAAACTGAATATTTTTCTAATATTTTTTATTAGTATAGTTGCCCGTTATTGATCGTGTTTTGTATGGGCATCTTATCTATTCCAACGTATAAATTGCAAACCTTTCTTTTAGGTTATCTAAAACGTGGGCTTGTCTGCATAAGAAAGATAAGCAAACTTTCGACAAATTAGCGGAAGTCTTCTCGGATGCGAATAATTGGGCAAATTTACGAAGTCACATTGAAAGTCTGAAGTTGCCTTGCATACCGTATTTAGGTTAGTAAATTTGACACCACAATGAAAACCTTAATTTATGTCAAATCGTATTTTAGGACTGTATTTGACTGATCTTGTATACATCGACATGGCCCACCCACATTTGGGCGGTTTAGAATCTCAACAAAGAAGTCTAAAAATGAACAACATACTCAGAATTATTTCTAATTATCAACACTCAGACTACTCACACCTTGCGAAAATTCCTCATATTATCGACTACCTAAACTCAATTAGATATATTGAAGAGTTACAGAAGTTCGTGGAAGATGACCAGTACAAGTAAATCTTCAGCAGAATTCGTAATGAATTTTTCTATTTATCCATGTAATGTCGTCAGATTGTCCTTAAAACTTGAACCTCCGTCACCAGCGCCTAGTACATCGAGTTGTAGTTCCAAGGAATCGGTGGTGGTGGACCCCACTGCCCTAGCTTCCCTGAATCTATCGCCAGCTAAAGCTTCGTCCGGTTCGTTGAGGCTTCAGGCGGCCACAACTAGCGGAAAATTTATGCCGGGCCATCGAAAATGTCGTAGTTTGGGAACAAAGTAAGTTTCCATAATTATTTTTTATTGAATGGTTGCCACCGTGGTTTTCATTTCCATACATTTTGTCACGTTATATTTAACCTCGGTGTTCAAAGAATTTAGCTTAATTACGTTTTTTCTATTAAAACAGAATAAAGTAATTTTAAAATTCTTATTAAAATAAAAACAACGAAAAATGTAATTATGTTGAAATTGTTTTTCAGTTTAAATAATTATAACATTTTCCGGCAGATTATTAAAAACCAACTCTTTCTTTAGAATTCACTAATTGATGGTAATCTTCTCAAATAAAAATACATTTTCGTAGACATACCTTTGTAATATTAACTTGAATGTTGGTTTTATATTAACCGTTCCTGAAATATTGTTTTGCTATTCTTCGATGCATTATTATTCATATTATTGTATTGCTTTTCATACAACTATAGGCACATGTGCAATTTAAGAAGTTTTGCAATTGCAAATATTGATTCGGGTTTCAATTGCAACAATAACAGAGAAACGAAAACTAGCAACGAATTAATTAACCAGCGATGTCCATTCAAAATTAAATTCGTTTCATAGATTTCGTAGCACAAGTCTTCCTAGAAATTTCCACACATCCGGGTATCTATCCACTGTTTTACCCCGGCGGTAAGTCGTGAAAAGCGTCTTGTGCTTTTAATGTCAGTAGGTTAATATCAATAAGTTGCACACGTTAAGGAAAAAGCACGAACATTTACGATCCCTTGGGATATTAGATAGTTAGATAGATCTGCCAGTTTATAATTTCCATGCATCATTTGTTTTTACTTTTAGGTTCTGCATATGTGATTTTTTTTTCTAAATTAACATTTACGGCATGCAATTTTGCTATTCATCCATTGAGAAAACAGTCGAGTATTTTGTGTCGGTTACAATGAGACACTTTTTGTTTAGTATATTTAGCAAGATGCAACAGGTTGGCAGTTTCGACCCAAAGGATTTACCAAAGACGCTACACTTGCTGGACGATTCAGAAATCGAAGACTCGAGAATGACAGCGTTGAATCAGGCGAATTTGCCTTCTCCTACAAACGAACTGCCTTTGCAGGTGTCCCACAGCACAGAAGAGAGCACAACTCTTTTGTCAAGGTAAAAATAATCAACAATTTTACTTGTTTTGTTCTTTAAGGAATCTCTTAATATTAAACATCCCAAAATTTATATCATCAAATCTGGATATTTAGACCATTTGCCTAATTTTGTCATAAGGATGGTTATTGGTTTGGATAACAAAAAAGATTTTCTGATGATTATAATAGGAATTTCCTTCTACTGAAAGTTAGGTTCAACACTTTTTAATATGAATAACTTCTCAGATGTGCCTTTTTGAAATATAAATACTATTTTTGTATGTTTTACCATGAATTAAAGTATTTGTTTATGAACTGCAATTATCAGAATCTACCTAATTTTTTTTTATTGTATGTAACTAAAACTAACCAATCTTACAAATAAGTAACACAATAAAAACATCAATTAATTTAGAACATTATGTATTAAATTACAAACAGAATTTCTGGTTATATGTTATTTTTTGAAGCTTTGATAATAAAAGGTGTTTGTGGAAGCACAAGAATTCAGAAATAATAATATTTTTTTCAGTGGCTGCTTTTTTTGAAAATAGTGATGCAATTATTTTATTAAAACAAGTGAAACAATTGAAAACAACTGTTTAGAGAAAAAGCACTAGTGTTGATGAGGCAGTTTCTTTGTTTCATAATATTGTCTAAATTTGGTTCCTAAATATGGAACTATTGTTGGCGAACCATTTATTAAATTAGAAGATGTTATTTTTAAGTAAAAAACAATTTTGTATAGAAAACAAAAAGAAAATAATTGTAAATTGTATCAGTTCCTTTATGTTATCCAAAATATCTATTTTTAGCATCTACCAATTTTTTTTAAGATTATCGGAAGATGTTACCAGTTCAAACGAAAATCTCTGTCCGATGCAAGGTTGTGTTAGAAGGAAAACCATATTGAAAGAAGGAAGAAAACCGACGGTCGCATCATGGCAGAGGTATTGGCTTCAAATTTGGGCCAATTCTTTAATTTATTTTTCTCCAAAATCATTTAAAGGGTAAAGTGTAATTATGTTCATATTTTCGGATTTAATTGCCGAAATTCTAGGCACTTGAGATCCGATTTTAAAAGTGATCCTTGCAAAATGGTGTCACTGCTGGGATGTCAAATAGTCTGCGAAGACGCTACTACAGCGTATCAAGACACTTTTCAGCTTGTTGATCATCACAAAGGTGAGTTTGTCTAACGCATAACTGAATTTAATAACTTTCATTTTTGTAGTAATTTATTTAAATTATTTAAATATTTTAATTAGAATAATTAAAGTTTCTTTGTTTTACAGGGAACGTGTACAAATTTAGGGTAGGGAACAAGACTCAGGTTGATCGGTGGCGTCATTTTTTGGAACGGGCAGTTAATGGGGAACCGACGCCTTTACCCAATAATCTTATGTCTTTTGAGTGATATGTATGTTGATATTTAATTTATAGTCATTAAGAAATCTCATTTATTTTGTACATTGCTCGCATTTACTGTTAAACGTTTTTTTACTGTTACATTTTGTATTTTATTGAGAATTAAATACCGACGATATAGCAAGGTACTGAGTGTTTTTTTGTTGATGGAAACATGCGTTCTGGATCTTTCAGCAGTGAATGGCTTCATTACCAAAGCAGTTTTTGATTTAAAAAAAAAAAGTGAATTTAGTTGAAGACTGGCTCTAACCAGAACTTATATAATTTCTTTTTTATTTCAATATTGAAGGCTTTGGAAAATTTTGTTTCAAATTAGAACTTGCTTCACCTTATTTTTTTAATAAATAGCTTATTTCACTCTGATCATTTTTTTAAATTTGTTTTTTTGGTATTTTTCAACTTTTTTAACTAATCTGTTTTATTCTAATTTTAAAAATATTCATTTCTTAATATACATTGAGTTGCAATAAAGTAGTTGGATAATCCTCTACTTAATAATTCTGCCACAAGTATCATAGAGCATATGGTGGTTTTCAGGGTAAGCCATCCAAAAATAAGCTTCGTGCCAAATTTCAGTGCTCATAATTTGTTAAATCACTCTAATGGGTGGCAACAAGTTAAATATAACAACTCGAAAATTACCTATGGTTGACTACAGAAATATTTTGATTTATATAATTGAGGAGAATAAGTAAACAGAGACTAATGTGAATCCAATAAAAATATACCTATTGCGAATGGAGAATAACAGATTGTTAGAAATTTATGCAGTGAGCTTCTGTTACTCCATTTATATTGCTCAATGAAATAAGTATTTCTCACATTAGTTGCGACTGCCTCTTTAAAGCAAAGCAAAGGAATAAAAGGAGAAACTTACAAATTTTCAGAAGTGCTGCAAAATGTTCCAAAATTGCACTACTATCATAATAACTAAAATACAATTATTGGAACAATTTAGCACATTTGACTTGGAGATTTTATTTAAGAAAGATTTTAAATGTTGCTCCCATCTTAAGTTAAAATTTTTCTCAATATTCTTGAACATTTTTTTTGTAATACATGGAGATACAAACAATTTACAATAACGAATACAAACTGAACTTATTTATTTCCTATAAATCAACCATTATTATAAGTTAAAGTTAACAAATTCATTCATACAAATGAAAAACCATTCAAGTTTTTTAAATTGGAATTATGAGTCTTTGGTTTCAAATTATGTTCGCATTGAAAGCCACAAGTGATAACATTATGTTCCTACATATAAAAATATATACACCGCAATAAATAGGGCCTACATTCTGGAAAGCACAATGATAGGCAGATAAGGGGTAGAAGTATTTCATTGAAGATCACAATTAGATTCCTTCTGTTACATATGTATGTATATACTCCCCATACATATGTTATCCATTTTCGTCTTCACAATAGGAACCCCAAAATATACAGTTCCCAATACCACTATAACAAATCAAAAATACTGTCACAAGAAACAGTAAACTGCAAACTGTACAAGGCTTTCTCTCCAAAAAGAACCCTATCAAATACAGGACCATAAACATTACGTGTGTCTGAATAAGGGCCGGGTTCGATGGTTTGGGCATCAATAACACCGGAATAAGCCACTGGAGACAGTACATAATTTTCCTAACTTCTGCTACACTGTCACATATTTAAATTTATATGCATTTTGGCAGTTTAGCACCGTTTTGGAAGAACTAGTCACACAGCTATTAGATTTCTTCATTGTTTGATCCAAAAGACATTTCTTTTTTCTAAAAATGTGTTACTTTGGTATCATACTTTCACATATCCTGAGCCTTACCTCTAATTTTAATTTGGATTTTGCTACATCAGACTAACAGCAGAGTAACAAAATAAGATATAACCATGGAAAAAATCGTAAAAAAAAAATTACATGCTGACCCACAGTTGCCTAACTCGTAAGAAGAAGGATAGAAGAGAGGTCAGTGTTATATTAATTTACGGACACAGTTATTTACTTACAATATAAGGGCGGATAGGATTTTGAAAGTGATTTCGTTGTGATTGAACTGCTGAATTCTGAAGTTTGGTGAATCGGTTCGAAGTCATATTTCTAATAACTTTGGGTACGTTGTTTCTTAGCCAAGTCAATAATAGTTTCATTTCCAGTACACAAATTCTAATTCTCTTAAGTCGAAGACCACCAAAGACACAATCTTCGCCTGTTGACGGATACTGGGCGTATGATCTTAGTAATCTTGCCTATCTAAGTGAAAATACCAATTTTTCCCTCTGTTCTCTGCCTTTACTTCTTTTGCCGGAGTTCGTGAACCACGTTGTTCTCGTTTTGATAAAGACTCCTATTTTATTTTTCAAAAATGGATAAACCTGTCGTTTTGGCTCGTGTAATCAAAGTTTTGGGACGTACTGGATCCCAGGGGCAATGTACCCAGGTAAAAGTCGAGTTTATTGCTGAACATAACCGCCAAATTATCAGAAACGTAAAGGGGCCAGTTAGGGAGGGTGACATCCTTACGCTTCTGGAATCTGAAAGAGAAGCCCGAAGGTTGCGATAGTCGATAAGGTGAGAATATAAAATTTACATTATAAACTTTAAAAATAGTACATGCATTCAGTTAGTACTTTCATCTTTTATGCATTTAGAAATGTTTTGCTGTTTGAGAAATTAGTTTAATTGTTGCTTAATTTTTTCTTTTGTTCTAGGTGTACTTTTAAAGCAACCAAATATACAGAACGAACATCTATTCCATGTATTTGACTAAATGGTTGTTACTTCTAATTTAATATAAGACATGATTTGAAATGTTCTTGTTTTTATTTTAGAAATATTCCCCATATGTGGGGAAATGAACAAGTACACAATAGTATATTATGCAACAAGTGCGGTAAACGAGTGAGTTAAAACATGTTGCATACTATACTTTTTCTACGACCGTTTTTGTTTACATTTTCGCAAAACAGCAAGAATACATTCAGACATAACCGTCAGAATTGACAAACGTCAAAATTCAAAGCGTGGGAAATATCTCCGAAAACATCCGATTGCTCCCAAATCCCAGAAATGTCCGAAGTGGCTCTGATTCATAGGAAACGTAGCTGACAGTAAAGTGACGCTTCCCGCACGCTAGATCGGTGGGTAATTAGGTATTTTACAGACGGGAGTAGAAAAAAACATTGGTCAAATTTAAGGAACACTCATTTATATACTGCATTTATTATTTCAAATTTACACTAGTTTCTGAAATATTCTTCAATTAATGCTTCGGCTTTGGGTCGGTTTGACATTTTATAAACTTTGGCCTGAAACCTGTTTCCTTTTCCTGCACCTTTACCTTCTAGTAGGTCACATATCCTAAAAAAAACTAATAGGCATTCTATTTGTTAAATAAAATTAAATTACTTTGGCCCTAAATCAGCAACTGCCTTTTCTTCACCATATAAAACCATATTCCCTATCGCCTTTTCATCTCCAGTTGACAAAAACAAAAGTATATCCTTGTCTTCTCCAACTTCCTTAATAAAAATGTTTATGAATTCCAGATCAGCCTCCTTTTTATGCAAGAAAAAGAAGCTTGGCCTTGGTAAAGTTTTTTTTAGGTTCTCAGCTTCCAAAATTGCTAATTCTCTTAGAACATTTTGTAAATTTTTTGTTAAAGTTTTTACATTTTTTTGGAGTTTATCAACTAAATCGGTGTGATCAACTGGATTATTTCTAAAAATATGAAAATCAGAACTGATTAGTTTTTAGTTGAGTTAAAAAATGATACTTCAAAAGTGCGGTAAGCCTTTGTTCTCTTTCAATACATCCACTAAGTCGTTTAAGAACCCTATTGCCTACCAAAAAATACAAAAAAGTTTTATCCTTCCTTTTACTTTTCTCAGAATGTAATAGCTTAATCACTTGTAACTGGCTCAAATTTGAAACATGTGTACCACAACACATATTTCCTTCAATATCTTCAATCCTTACAACACGAATGTCACCCTTATGATCAGCTGGTAAACCTCTAGCACTTCTAGCCTGAAAATATAAAACCTAGAAAGATTTGGTGCAATTACTATACATAAGTACTTCTTTTAGTTGTTCTTCAGGAGTATCTTCTGTATAAATTTCAACAGTAACCTTCTTAAACTCTCTTATCAAGTTATTTACAACATTTTCAGTGTAACTAATCTGATCCTCTGAAATCTGAGCAACATCTAAAATGATTGAATAGTACTGACAAATTGAATAAAATACTTAAAACTTACCTAATTCGATATATGATACCTCTTCTCCCAGCCACCAACTTACAGTTTGTATTTTAAAGTCTCTATCAATAATTGCAGTAATCAAATGCTGCCCTGAATGTTGCTGCATATGATCAAACCTTCTTTCCCAGTCGAGTACTTGTTTAACTTCTTCTCCAATTTGTAAAGGTTTGTGGGTGTAATGAACAGCCTTGTCAGTTTTGCGAACTATTTGATTGACCGGAATATCATTTAAATAACCATAATCACAAGGCTAAAACATGTTTATTGGAATATTAGATTGTTAAACTAAACTTTTGGAGATCTGTTAACTGTCCAGAAAGATTCATAACATTTTCTCACCTGTCCTCCTCCTTCTGGAAATAAAATAGTATCTTCAAGAATGACTTCGAATCCGTCACATTTTGTTTTTTTGCCGTTTATTACTTTGTTTATTTCTGTTTTTTCGCAAGAGACCACTTTTGTTACGAACTGCAATATAAAAAGTTACAGACCATCAAAATTATATTTACCGCGGTTTAAACTACCTCTCTTAAAAACGAATCATTCTGGCACTTAAAAACCATTATTAACCATTATATTCTGAAGTTTTTGTTCAGGTTGGTTTTGTGTTATGGATTGGGCTTCTGTTGGTTTACTTTGATTGGCCACAGTGCCAGGATCATTCGGACAGTCGAATAAGACGGTTGCACTAAATTATATTAATAATTTAGTGGTCATTTATCATGAAAGACGAATAAGTTGACTTAAGCTTGTTACCTGCAAATACGAAATATCAGTTCATAGTAGTTACAAACCTTGCTTAACTAGAAGACAAATCCTATATAAATATTTTATTTACAAAATAATTAAAAGATACGAGTAAAAATAAAAACATATTTTACTTAGCAAATATTAAATAGATGATTACTAAAACACTTAAACACAGAAAAACACATTTTTGACGACAATTTTGATATATTACACACAGCCACAAAAAGTAGAAAATTAAGTTTATTGGAGATTAACAAAATGAGACATTCAAATGTATTGCTTAACGATCAATTACATTTAAATACCTCTCCTTTATTGAACATAAATTCTCGCAACAACATTAATTAAGGTTTTATGGTCATTTTTCGGTATATATAGTAGCAGGTAGTTTGTAAATAGTACATTTGATAAAGACACGGTGTTGTCGAAACAATTGTCGTCATAATATATAATTTCGTGAAAATCTGAACTTTTAGTTCTTATTTATTTTGATAAATGGATTTTCAAGTACAAGCCACCTCAGTTCAATTAATAAAAAATATTATTTATTTATTTACTTATTCCTTTTTTTTGTAGATTGAATTGGGTTTATTCTTTCTAATGCAGAGTGTAGAAATCTATGCACATATTTAAAGATATATAAATGCAAATTAAATGTGAGTTTTAAATTGAACTGTAGGTACTTTGCGACAATAAATTCATTAAATCAAAAATAAAAGACATATTAATTTATACATTCTTGATCTAAAAGTATTATGACATACCATATCTATTTTGAACCGTTTTGCAGTTAAATGCAAAAATAATAATGCAGTTTTTAAGTCATGGCGAAATAGTTTGGCAGTTCGATTGGATAGTATATATCAAACAATTTATTATATTTATTAATTTATGTTATTTTGATGTGTTACCGATTTGTGAAAAGGAGTTCACGAGAATAGCGATAAGGCTTTAAAAACTATAATCTCCTATAAACTTCACGCAAATCGTCACGTTAAATTTAACTAAAGTTTTTTGAATCCAACGACTCGAATCAGATTTTGTTAGAATATCAAGAAGATCCAAACTTGCAAACTTGAACTTTGAAAATTTGTACGAACTGGCGGGTGTAAATTTTCAAAAAAATAATTTTTATAAAAATTTATTTTAATTCCAAAATATTTCGAAAGAGCTAGAATCTATGTCACATATAAAAAAAATTGAAGGTATTTAAAAATAAAATAATGTACAGGGTGGTCCGAACATTTACAACAATAGGAAAAAAATCTTTTTTCTACTCCCGTCTGTAAAATACCTAATTACTCGATCTAGCGTGCGAGAAGCGTCACTTTACCACGTCAGTTTCGTTTCCCATGATTCCGTGCCAGTTCGGACATTTCCGGGATTTTACCGCACGGATTTGGAAGCAACCGGATGTTTTCGGAGACATTTCCCACGCTATGAATTTTGACGTTTGTCAACTCTGACAGTCATGTCAGTGAATGTATTCGTGTTGTTTTTCGAAAATGTACCCAAAAACTAACTGCCGTAGAAAAAGTATAGTTTGCAACATGCAAACGTTTTAAGTCACAAGTTTATTAGAAAACTCGTGAGCCAAATGCCATTTACCGCATTTATTGCATAATATGTTATTTCCTATTAAAAATCTCTTCTAGATTTAGATTTTAAACTTTTTTTTTGTTTAACCAATCGCATTCATGTACAATTCGGTTCTTGTTTAGAATTTATCAGGGTATCTAAATTGACGTACCACTTTTTTTACATTTCTTATTTTAATTTTTATCCTGCTGATTACGCTGTATAGAGTATATGAACGTCGCAGACCAATCTGCAATGTCACAGATATTTTATAAATAGAAATATAAATCATAGTCCCCTAGGGGCGCAACCCACTTTTTAATCAATCTTTAAACTGCAGATATTAGACACCAAAATATTACGATTCAGCTCAACATGCCTCATACAAATGTCGCTGATTTCGCTGTTATTTAAATTTTATCCTGAATTTTCTCAATGATTAGTTTTTATATTATAATAATAAAAATTGACAGGTTTTATGACACGTCAATTACGAATTTGAAACCTGTTCGGACGTTGTTCTTAGAGGGCGTTAGAATTTTCCTAAATACGAATTAAAATTTCGTGTCCTTCACAAACGTCATTTGTTTTTGGTCCAAAAATCTTGTTTTACGGTTGCAAAGATTTCACAAAAGTTTTTAGATTAGATTGCCATCGATTTGGGCATGGTTGTAGATACCATGGGAACTTGGCGCCACAATTAAACCACAATTTGCTTGAATAAAAAGACAAATCATAAATCACACATCTAGGTATAGGAAAAATGATTAAGTAACGGTATTTTGTGATTACCAGCTAGACTTCTGCAAAGCTGTAAGTAACACGCACGCTAAACTAACCGTAACACATGCAAATTTGGCAAATGTTGACTCAAGCCTATTTATAAGAAAATAGCAGCACCATAAATCTGAATGTATTGTAAAATATATTGAGGTAGACAATTCCAACACACTTACATTCACTGGCATGTCCGTCAGAATTGGCAAACGTCAAAATTCAAGCCGTGCGTTAATATCTTTGAAAACATCCGATTATTCCCAGACCCGTGCGATAATATCGGTGTATAATTACGTATTTTACAGAAAAGAGTAGAAAAATAATTTTCAAAAACGTTAATTGTCATGACAAACTCAAAACTACCAATTTTTATTAATATGCTATAAAAATTTTCTGAATCAATGAGACATCAATAAGTAACTTGCAGACGGAAATATGCGTAATAGTATATTATGCAACATGTGCGGTGAACGGCATTTGACACACGAGTTTATAATAAACGAGTGAGATAAAGAGTTTACCAAACGTGTTGCATACTATACTTTTTCTACGACCGTCACGAAAAAATCATAATTTAGCAAATTGAAAATAACAGATTGGCGGATTACTAAATTTCGTACCATTCAAACAACAAACAACTAGTGGCCATTAAACCTATTCATTTAGCGTTCCGATCGGTCTTGCTATTGTTGTCTCTTTTTAACTGTCTACGTTAGACAGAGAGAGATGTATTATTGGATATGTCATATAAACAATGTAATAAATAATTTTAAAACATTATGTTGTTTATTTAAACAAAAATACTATAATTGTAAGGAAACTCATCCAAGGATAGAGCTGTTAAGAGGATTAAATCTTTAAGATCCTATAAGCAAGAAAAAGCAGGTCCTAACCTTCAATTTTGTTTTGTTTGTACTTATGAGACATGGATATTTGAAAATCGTACAATTGGTCTTGGCAAAATGTTAATACAAACACTGCAAAAATCACTAAAGTTTATGCGAACGGTATGTAAAATTTCTGTGGTAAACCGACCAGTCCACTAGATTTTATTTGTAGCTTATAGCACCTAGTATTTAAATTGTCTGATATGTGGCATACAATTTTTCTGTGTTTTAGTTTTTGGGTATATTTTAGCAAAACAACACGAATACATTTACCGACATGACCGTCAGAGTTGACAAACGTCAAAATTCAAGCCGTGCGGTAAAATCCCCGAAAACATCCGATTGTTCCTTGACCAGTACGGTAATATCCGGGAAATGTCCGAAGTAGTTCGATTTCGTGAGACAAAAAACTCACGTGGTAAAGTAACGCTTCTCGCATTTTAGATCGCTGTATAATTGAGTATTTTACAGAAGGGAGTAGAACTAGTATATTATGCAACAAGTGCGGTAAACGGCATTTGAGTAACGAGTTTATTTGGCACGAGCGGAGCGAGTGCTTAAAAAATGACTGATTTAAAAAGTTTACTAAACCTGTTGCATACTATACTTTTTCTATGACCGTTAGTTTTGTGACACATATTTTTGCAAAACACCACTCACACTTACATTCACTGACATGACAGTCAGAATTGACAAACGTCTAAATTCAAGTCGTGCGGTAAAATCCCCGAAAACATCTGATTGCTCCCAAACCCGTGCGATAATATCCCGGAAATGTAAGAGTGGCTCGGATCCGGGGGACAAGAAACTCACATGGTGCATAATTGGGTATTTTACAGAAAGGAGTAGAAAAAAATACTTTTCAAATAGGTTAATTGTCATGTCAAACACACTTAAACTGCCAATTTTTATTACTATACTATAAACATCTTCTCAATCAATGACCGTCTCTCTTAAACCAGTTATACAATTTTGGTTTCTAGTGTCTCTAGTTTTTTATGAATCATATGTTTGAATTAAAAGTTTTAACCAGAGATCCTACTCGATCAGATCGCCATACACCAAATTTTGGGTATAGTTTGACCGCAGAGGCGATTAATTTCTCCCGTGGAGAGGGCTGGAGCGCAATACTGTCTCCATAGTTTACCACGCAATCGGTAACTCTCTTTTTATTTCGTAGGTTTCTCCATGGTTCGAGCTTTTCGGTTCAGTCGACTCGCGGGGCGCACGTCGAAAGCTTGCAGGAGACCGCTGCGTTGTCATATTTACGCTGTTGGGGACATCGCGCGTTCCAAATTCGAATCTCTTTTCCGGACGGTGTCGAACGTATTATCGTTAATATTTGGTGGATTGTTTTGTGGTTTCCCGTGAAAATGTTTTGACTCGGGCCTCCCAAAGGGTCGTGCGAAACAAGATGGAGAGTTTGAAGATTTTGCTGGGAATAGTACTTTGCGTAGCTTCAGTCAGAGGTACCGTAGCCAATTATTCCTGAAGTTATGGCGCCAATGATTTGCAACGTCCTTGTTCTAATGACCTGTGTAGACCTCGCGATCTTAAAATTTTTTGAAAATTTTGTTTCGAAAAAAAAACAAGAATAAATAAATAAATTATATAAATAAAACAAATTTAAAAAACATATGATAACACCGTCAATAACAGACCACAAAACTCATTTTTGCGTTTTAAAATAAGATGCCGATCCTGTAAGATGTGAAACGTTGGTTAATTTTAAGAAGAAATGTTCAAATAAATCCTTTTATATCTTGAGCTACAAATTGCTAAAGTTTTAATAAACAAATTTTTTTAATTATAATTTTAATCACCAAATATATTTTTTCTGAAATTTGATACGAGGGCCCTAACAGCAGAAGATTTTCATTTTTCTGTAATCGGTGTTGCCCGTACAAAACGTGGATTGTGGAATATGAAATCTGAAAACTAAAACAGGCAGAAAACCAGTAAGTTCGTCAGTTCAAGTATAATTTATTTTATTTTATTTATACTGTTGGTTTTCCTAATTATGTTAAATATTTTAATTCAAGGTGATTATATTTAACCTAGTTGAACCTTAGTTTAAAAAATCGAATCTTTTTATTTGCTTAATAAAATTTTAAAAGGAGAGAATCCTAGCAGATTCGTAAACATAACATTGTCGCGCTCTGAGATCCTTCACTTATCAATAATGCCAAGGGAGTATATATAATCTTATACCTGTTGCTATAAGAGTCTTCGTGTAAAGGGCGATGTATGGCTAGATGAGCAACTATATCTACTGGATTTTGCTACCGACCCCTCTTAGATACCGTATAAAACGTTTACACTTACCGTTACCATGATATTCAGTACAAAGATATTTAGATATGAACTATAAATTAAATTAGCCTTTTCAATACCATTGGTTAGGTGAAATTATGAGCAATAAGATAAAAAAAAATTACACAATTTTTTGCCGCACGAGGTCTTGATGCGACTTCCTGCAAATATTTAGGGTAATGTCCATCGTATATAAAACAACATATTTCTCAAGTAACTTAAAGATGAACCTATTTTAGGTAGAGTGCCCCTAGGCTTTAATTAGATATTGACACTAGACCTAATTATGTTCAACAACACGAGGCCTTTATTTCCATCGGCAACAATATATTGTATAACAAAAGTTATTCTTAATACTAACCTAAAAGAAAAATCAAAAAAAGATCCAGGAGGTATGTTATAATTTGTAAATAATCTTCTACAAGGTGGGAAGTTTTTCCAATAAAAAGTTTTTTAACTTAACTTTAAAGATTTGCAGGTCTTTATTTTATTTTGCAAGCTATTAAAAGCAGGGGCCATACGTTTCGAGGAGATCCGAAAGCCAATTTTGATTTGCAAATATAATACTACTATTACTACTTTCAAATTATGTTTAAAAACAAACAGATTTCACAAAGAAACAAAAACGGTACAGTGAAAAATATTATTTTCTCAAATAATCTCTACTACGTGTTTTTGGTTTTCCAGCAAGAGAACGTATATAACTTTTTTGAGCAATAAAAACATATGTAGCGAGGGTTGACCAACCCCAGAACCAGACACCATATGTGTTGACATTCGCCACATAGACATGAATCAGCTGTTCGATGTTTAGAACTGATTTTAATTGGCTCAGAACATAATTTTGAGGATTTATTTTTGATATTAAGTATTCCCAGGGTGAGGGTTGTTTTACATAGGTTTAGGTAGAGAGCAGACATCAGGTCTACCTGAAATTTTGAGACGAAACCATATTTGCGAACGTTGTAAATAAAGTCAATTTGGTTAATAAATAAGATAAAGAATAGGATAATAAATAAGATACTATTATCGAATTGAATTATTTAATATATTTGTAATACAATTTTTAATGTTATTTTAAAAGTCAGTATTTTGAAGAGAAACGTATTGTTTCCTATTTGTTAAGAACGGTTTCGACTAATCAAAAGAGCCACCAACGAAACCATATATTTTTTATAATTATTAAACTATACAACCTTTTACGGCTTCTGATATTCCGCTGTTTCATGTTTGTTTCATCTTTACTTTTTACAGATTTTTTCTTTTTCTTAAAATATTGAAAGTTGCGTTATTAAGGGTGTTTTTTTAGAGGTATGGAACTTTAAGTTGGTAACACTTTTTTAACTGTCAGCTGTCAAGTGATTTATGTTCAGTTTGAATAGCCTGACGCCGGAACAAATGTTGTGCAAATTTATTTTGAAAATCATGGTTCTGTTAGAATTACGTATCGCCCCCTACCGCCATTTTGTCGTCAACATAATCGTGATTCAGAGCAGAACTTAACTGTTTTGTATGGTTTATTGGATAGTGAAATAATTTAATAATTTAAAAAATAAGACGGCGGAATGTCACACACCTCGTACCACAATTGACTTATTGAAGGAAATGTTTGGTATGGTCTGTTCATAGATATAAGGAAGTGACCAATTGCTTTTGAATGGGATTATCCAAGGGTGGTCATGAACATACAATGCAACAAGATTATTACCTAAAGTTTCGGAATTTAAATTCAGGTAAAATTGTGGTCTGTAATAGCAAATAATTTTATACCTGCCCATGTTTAATATTCTTTTGTTTGGTATATTATTTAGTTTAAGTTCATTAGTAATCATTCTTATTTCTTGTGTCAAACAGTGTGTGTTGAATCGTGTGCAATTATGCAAAATATGTGCGAGTCTAGTATATCTCAGGAGATGCTCCCGCCCAAATGCAGAAAACACTATTCTAAGGACTAAGGAAGTTATAAACAATGTTTATTTGATTCTCATTGAATGTGGTGCCCATCTTTAGAAGAAACGGCCACATTGTTGAAAATTCCAACGTCAACTGTATGGAAAATTGTGAATAATCTCAGCGAGGAAAACAAGAAGCGATGCTGACATTTTCTCGAGTGTGGATGGAAGTGATCAAGATATAATACGGCGTAAAATTTACCAGTTATACGAGGAAGAAACTGTGCCTACATTAGATATCTTAATTAGGAGCCTTGAAAAAGATGAAACCGGTGTTAAATGTGGCAAAACTACCTTATATTCAACACGTGGATTTTAGATTTAAAAAAATTGACAAAAGGCAAGTTTTAATGGAATCTTTTAGAATTCGGAAATGGTGACTGGAATATCTAGAAAAAAATAGGATTTACAGGGAACAACAAAGGCCAATTATTTACGTAGATGAAACCTGGTTCGACACTTATGATACCCCGGAAAAGGGTTGGGTTTTCTCAACTGATAAGTGTAAAATAAACGCGCCATCAAAAAGAAGTAAAAGAATAACTATTTTGCATGCAAGTTGGTTTAAAAACAAACTAGTTCCAAACGTTCCTTCTAATAGCGTCATTGTAATGGACGATGCAAGTTATCACAGTAGACAGTTGACCCCTTCCTCATGTGACACAAAAGCAAAAATCCAAAACTACATCTATAATAACGACATTTATTTTCACAAAGATTATACCAAAAAGCAATTAATTGAGTTTCTACTAAGCTTGAACCTACAAAAGGAATACGTTTGTGATGATTATGCAAAAAATCTGGGGCATACATACCTTACCACTGTATATTTAATCCAATTGAACATGTTTGGCACCAACTGAAATCTGCCATTCGTCGTAACAATGTTTTTCCCAGTGTTAACTCCACTGTCCTCAAACTTATAGAAACCCAAGTTTTTTACATCCCTCCACAAAGTTGGGCAAATTCTGTTAAACATATAGAAAAAGCAGAACAATCGTATATCCATATTGCAAATAATATAGAACAAATAATAATTAGAACAGATTTAAGTAGGTAATAAAAATAATTTATAATTTTATTTTAGACATAAACATAAATACATACACAAATAAATATTGTTTAGTATCTTTCCTAACAAAACCCCAAATAATTAACACACAATAACGCGTTTTACCACAAATCGAAACTCAATTTTGGGTACTCGACAAATAATTAAATTATAAGCACAGTAGGGACCTGTTCGGCCATATTTCATTCTTACAGCTTGCCCGGATCTTTCCTTAATTCGTATCAATTAGGCACTTTCTTATATCTATGAACAGACTTTAACCGTATAGACTCTTTTCTGTGAACGGGGATCTGTGAAGTCGCTAGTCTATGCCAATAAGCCCGAAACGATTGACTACTTTGAGGACGACATCCGCGTTATTGCCGATATATGGCCACAAATGTTCGAAAAATTAATTAAAAATTGGACCTCCAGATTAGACTACGTCCGAGCCAGCAGTGGCGCTTATATGCCAGAAGATTATGTTTCAAATAAAGTTAATTTCATGTCAATTTAAAAAAATCGTCTATTAGGTTATTTGCGATATATTCATTTACATTTAGGAATTAATTTAGCAGGTGAGAGATATTATTTGCGCAATTTTAAGTAAACTTAAGTAGCACACACAGAAAATAGATTTATTTGAACTTTTTTCATTAAAATTACGTAAGGAATCTGCATCTTATACCTACAACTGTATATTTGACTAAAAAGAGTCAAGGTAAATGACAACGAACATTCATTAGTCCCGCTAATATTTATTCCATGATTTTTGTGGTCCGTATTGCGACTAGGTGAGTCAACAATCTGAATATATTTGGAGATAACGGAAATACGAAAAAATCGGACTCCGAGACGTAATAAAAAAATCGGTTCGAAAATACCCTCGTGCACTACATTTATACATGGCGCGTTTCTATGAGGAAATATTAATCGGCTTCAGCTGCTCGGGCGACGATTTTATTTTCCCACAACACGGGGCTGCCTCCGTTTGATTACTTATCCGGTCGATTTGGCCGTCAAAGGAAGTCGTTTTTGTCTTTGCTTCTAGAGTTACAGTGAGATTCCGTTCCCCAATATACATACGAAACTCGATACCCCGACGGTATTTACTAAACACCAACAACAGGTCGTTTATACGGCACTTGGTTGA